AGGTTGAATTTTGGTAAAATTCGATCTTTTTTTTGGTATTGGTTCATGTAGATGTTCGAGTCTGTGTAGAAACACACGAACTCGGATTTTTTTTCAAAGTCATCGGTTCGTGGGAAATGGCATGAACTTGAGCTTCGCGTTCGTGCTATTTCACACGAACTCATAATTTTTATAATTTTTTTTGTTAAAGATAATTTAAATAAAAAGTAAAGAAAATAAAAATAAAATTAGTTCATGTAATTTGGCACCAAATCACGCTTATGAACTCATTGTAATTGGTTCGTGTGATTTGGCACAAACTCTGAGCACCAGTTCGTGCCAAAAATCACATGAACTAATTTTTTTTTTTTTTTTTTTTAATTGTGATTTGTTCGTTACATGAAGAAGATGTACAAATGGACGATGATTAAATTAAGAAGTTTGAGTTACATGACCCCTGTTGTATGTTCTGAAGGACTGGGTTCAAGGAGCTAACTCTTCCCTCGAAATGAACGTTGTCCTCAATGGAAATTAATGGGGTTTGAAATTTGGTGGTCATGATTTTCATTCGTGCCTTTTCTTCAAGTTAGTTTGTGGCAATATGAATTACGAAAAAATTGTTATAAGGTTGAATGACATAATCTATGGATTAAAGTATTTGTGATTGTTTTAACTATTAGTCACATTCATATTTGGATGCTATTTTTAGTTTGGTGTAGAGAAGTACAAGAAGTTTTATGATGATCTTCATTGATGAATCAGTGAATGAACAACATAAACATCGGTTCGTGTTGGTTTTACATATTGTCTTCGGAATTTTAATTGTCATTGTTTCTGTGTTTGCTTATTTTTAGTTGTGGAACTAGTATAAATATTACTGTCGTTACAGTAATATTACTGTCATTGTTTGTCCTTTTATTATGTTGACTTTGTTGAACGGTCAACATATTAATATTACTCTATTATACAATAATAATGATTTTTGTTGTGTTAATATTACTGTGTTAGACAGTAATATATCAATATTACTGTGTTAAACTGTAGTATAGTTAGTATTACTGTGTTAACTTAAACAGAAATATAGTTAATATGACTGTCAACCACAACAATATTACTATTTAAACGGGCAAAAAGATGTTGAAGAAAAAAAAATAAACAAAAAAAAAAAGTAAACGGCGCCAGAGACCGGCGTTGACCGCCGGTCACCGGCGCCAGAAAGAAGAAAACGAAAAAGAAAAAAAATCGAAAAAGTCAATGTCGGAAACCTGCGGAAAAAGCAGGAGGAAAAAAAAAGGTCAACGTCGGACCGCCTAAAAATCCTTAACCATAACAAAGATGTTCATAGCACGTTCTATTTTTCCATAAAAATATATTCGTTCAAGAAGAATTCCAGGAGATGTTGATTGTAAATGAGAAGATTTAGTACGTAGAAAGACGAAAATAGATTTGTATTCACATAGATGAGAATTATATAAAAATAAGAACAATCAGTTATTTTTGTTTTGAAAAAAAAGGAGCTCGCTTTCTGTGGAGTAATAAGACTCTTTGAATTACAATACTCGTCTCGTTGAGAAAGAATCGTAATAAATGCAAAGAAGAGGCTTACCCGACAACGAAGAGTTTGAACCAAGATTTCAACATGAACAAGCTGGGGTATTAGTATATCTAATACCAACGGTCAACGGCGGCAATGGGTGAAATTGTACTCAAAATTGAGTTTTGGGTCAAAATTGAATAATTTGTGACATTTGGGGTCAATTTAGGGTTAAATCGAATTAAATGATCAAATTGGAGCATATTAAAATATGAAGGGTATTTTAGTCTTTTACACATCTCTGGACAATATCTGGATTTTTTATAAATTTTTTTGTTTGGATCCCTTAAAAAATAAGTATCCAATGATGGACTTATTTGTAATATACTCTATTTAGTATCAAATTATTTTCTTCTAGGATTATGTCTAATTACTTTTAGACCCCTCATATTTCAAAATTATTCGAGATACCTCTTTAAAGTTTAATTTAAACAACAAACTAAAGTTAAACTCATTGGGTCATATTTTTATTTGTTCCTAAATATTATGAATAAACAACTTATACATATATTTTTTATATAATAAATTTATAACAAATCAACGATCAAATAAGATTAATCGCATCATAAATATTAAGAAGAGCACTTTAGAAATAAGTCCATCAATGGGTACTTATTCGTACAGGGGACCAGCCAAAAAACTCTTTGAATATCCACCAATTTCATCATTTAATTTAATTTAACCTCAATTTGACCCCAAATTTCACAAATTATACAATTTTGACCCAAAACACAATTTTGAGTACAATTTCACTAAAAAAAGTCAACACCGGGAAAAAAAGAGAATTTTTTTTTTCGAAAAAGTCAACGCTCGAGACCGGCGGCAAAAAAAAAATTTCAGAAAAAAAAGAGTCAAAATTGGATTTTTGTGGTAAAAAATGATTAAATTGGGGTTACAATTAAGAATTAGGGGTAATTTTGTCAAATACATTAATTTTTCCTTTATTTATAATATATATTAAATTGATGAGCTTAATTAAAAATTAAATCTTCATTTCCCATTAACAATGGAAGTTTTTTAGAGAACAAAAATACAATAACGGAAAGGAGATATCACAACATGAGGTGAGCAAGACTGTGATGTGGTGAAAAGAAATGTCAGTTTTTTATTGCATACAAAGATCAAAATTGTTCCTCTCGTAAAGAACGCCCTGTTGCACGGACACTAAAACAACCAGAATCAGTGGCGGTGCTCTACGAATCGACCGGAATAGAATCAAGTTCAAATGATGACTATAAATTCATGTTTAAATATTTTATTGTTACGAAACTTTTGTTATGTGATTAGGATATATAAATGTTTGGGATAGAATCATATTTAAATATTTCTTATATATGTTTTTTTAATGTTGACAAATAATATCTAAAAATATATTACTAAATTTAAAAAAATGATTAATTTCCGATATCCCGGATTAGTCATTGCCTCAACGATTAATCATGAGGCAGTGCCTAACCACCTCCGACCCGACTCGTATTTTTTAGAGCCTTGCAAAAAATATACAACTTTAACTTGATAACTCCACTGGAGAAATATATATATATACTTTTTTAATTTTACGATATCAAAATGGTAGTTTTATCAATACTTTATTTGGTTCCCCTATTGAAGTTGATCTTGGATATATAATTTCAATTGTCAAATGAGTTAAGTTTTAGATAATATCAAATTAAGGTGAGCAAAATTTTCTAAATTAGAGAGAATATAGCTGTAGTAAATATAGGGATAATTAGTAAAAAAAAAAGCCCATATAGGAAAATGAGTTAAGGAAACACCCACTTCAAAAAATAATAATTTTTAGAGAAAACCCTCTTATCTAATATCCACCCAAGTGATATTTTCATAATTCTAAAACTACACTTAATTGTCTATTATACTCTTTCAAAACCCTAATTTTATTTTCTCTTTTTCGTCTCTTCTCTCGCGTCTCTTCTCTGCCTTTTTTTTTTCTCCCTCTTTTATACTTTTCTCTCACTCTCTCTTATCGGAAGATGAAGAACCAACCACCGACATCACCGCCAGAACAACGATGCCAATTCCGTTGAAGCCGTCGTCGTCGTTGTCGTTGCCGTCTCCGTCGCCGTCGCCGTCGTTGCAGATCTTAACAAAAGCCATAAAGATGGTGATGATTTTGATAGCGATTCTGAGTTCGAATGCCACGATTGCTACATCGGCGGTGAAAAGAGGTAAAATTGTCGATCGGAATCGGATTTTGATGGGTGGTGGTTCTGCTTTGGTTGGTGGTGCGAGTTGTGATTTTATTTATTTATTTATTTGTAATAAAAAAAACTGTCATAATATCAAAGTAAGGTGGTGATGGTGTGTTGTGGCGGCGGTGTGGTGACGATGGGGAGACAGATTTATGGTTTTTTGGTGGATTGGGCGGATGACGGCGTGTGTAGAGAATTTCGCGCATGCTAAAACCTTAATCGACTATGTACATGTTCATAGTCGATTAAGCTAATCGACTATGCTCTGGTAGTCGATTAAGGTTCATCGACTCCAATTTTTTTTTATTTTTTTGGGATTTTTTGTTTATTGATTCTAATTGTATAAATCATTTATAATGTTTGTATATTTTTTGCTTTTGTAATATATAGTTGATTTTGCATTTTTTCGCAATTGTGATTTGTTATTTTTAGTAGCAGATTCTTAATCGACTATGCTTCACATCATAGTCGATTAATATGCTTCATTGACTCCAATTTTTAATTTTTTTTTGGATTTTTTGTTTATTGATTCCAATTGTATAAATCAATTATAATGTTTGTATATTGTTTGTTTTTGTATAATATAGTTGAGTTTGCATTTTTGTAGTTGTGATTTGTTATTTTTAGTAGTCGGTTCCTTAATCGACTATAGTTCATCATAGTCGATTTAATATGCTTCATAGTTGATTAATATACCTGATAGAAAAAACAAAAAGTAAAAAAAAAACCAAAAAAAAAATAATAATAAAATAATAAAATAATAATAAATAATAAAAAAAAAGGAAAAAAAGGAAAGACACGCTGATGGGTCATGGACGGGAATGGGCAGATAGTGTTAAAGGTGAAGGGACATAATTGAAAAAATGAGTGGCTAAAATTAAGAGTATGTTTTTCTCAAATAATGCAAAATAATTTGGATCTTTCCCTATTAAAAAAAGTATTGAGAGGTTATATCAAAGAGCCCCATAAATATAACCTCAAATGAGGTAGGTCTATATATCACTAATTCTGTAATTCTCTATTCCATATATAAATTCACTAGTTATGTTTCTCCTAATTATGCATTTGTAGAGAACTAAGTTTTTTTTTTTTTGTCAAAAATAAAAATCATTTTCACACGTTTATATCTATATATAAATACATAATTATGAGAAACACCATTTTGCAAATTAACCAAAAATGAATATAAAATAATAGAAAAAAAAAAAAGAGAAGAAGAAGAAGAAGAAATAGCCTTTAGGGAAAGAAAAAAAATCATCAAAAAAATCAATTAAATTTTCTTGGATCAGTAACATTGATCCAGCAATGGCGATCGGTGGACCCCATTTCCCTCGCCATCTTCCTATCCCATTCAAGCTCGATCTTCCTCTCCTCCGACAGCCCACACACCTTCCTCAGCCCTTCTTCCATGGCGTCGTGCACGCGCCACCACCGCGCGTGGGCCTCCTCGCTTGCGTACACGCGCTGATCCGGTACATCCCAGTTGCAGTCGTAGTCCCTGTAGCACAGCCACGGCTTCAGCCCGAGATAATGCACCGAGTACAGCTCCGGCGGGTCCGACCCGAACAGGTGGTTCTTGAACCCCGCCTCCGCCGACGAGTTCGACCAGAAGTTCTTCAGGAAGTTGACCCGCCGCGGCAGGCGGTGCCACCACACGAACACCTCGTTCAGGAAGCCCTGGTCGCCGCCGTTGTAGGAGACGATGTCCGCCCTCCGGGACATGAGCGCGCGGAACGTGCAGCCCGAGGGCTCCACCACCATCACGCCGGAGTTGAAGATGGAGCCGTCGTTTCCCGCGGCGGTCATCTCCGGGAAGTGGAAGAGGACGTCGAGGCGGCGGAGGACGATGATGTCCGAGTCGACGAACACCACCTTGTCGTAGTCGGTGAGCTGCCAGAGGCGGAGCTTGCTGTAGTTGTACTCGTTGTAGGAGTTCTTCTCGGCCCGCGGGTTGCGGATGCGCTCGATGAACCGGAGGGTCCACCCGGCCCGGACGAGGGAGCGTCGCTTGGGTTCGGAAATGGAGGTGTCGAGGAGGAGGATTAGGTCGCGGCGGGTCCCGGTTCGGAGTAGTGTTTGTGCTAGGGTTACTGCGCCGCAGACGTAGGATTCCGACGAGTGGAGGACCGTCGCGTAGGCTTCTCGCTTTTGCGGTCTTTCGGTCGCGGCTTCGATTTTGGATAAATCGTACACTTCGTTCGTTCCTGTATGTGGTTAATCACTCGTTAACAGTGTTTTAAGACGAAGACATTGAGATAGCGAAAAATTACAATTGTATCCTTAAAACAATAACTTAATTTTATTAAATAAAAGATTTTATGCTAGACAATTCACATATAATAGCATAGTATAACAAATTTAATAAAACGTGTAATCTAGAGAATCAAATATATTATTATCTAATTAATTAATTAAAATCAAATCTAATCTGGTCTAATCCGATGGATATATGTAAGCGAGTTCTAAGCTTAAATTATATATTTATTCACCAACTCGTTTAGCAAACTTTAGTGTTTAGATTAGTATGTAATGGTATATCAAATAATAATGATTTGGATTCCAAGTCTTAACAACCTCTCTTAATGGTCCAAGATGCAAGCTTAAAATAGAATTCCTACTCGTGACACCAATATTGAAAACGAAATTCCATCTACTTTAGTATTAATAATTAATGTATCATATCAATTACTAACAAAAACTGCGCCTGTAGCTCAGTGGATAGAGCGTCTGTTTCCTAAGCAGAAAGTCGTAGGTTCGACCCCTACCTGGCGCGATTTTATGTTTATCCTTTTTTTAGTCCCTACTTTTGTCATATTTTCATTTTAACCCTTTGCCTTTGTCATATTTTTTATTTATTTTTTTTTACTTTTTCTCCTCACCTCTTACTATTAACATCTTCTGTACAAGCATAATAACCAAAACTACTTTGCAAAATAATTGATTAAATATAACCTTATGGGAAAGTAGAAAGAAGAACAAGTAACAAAAACAAAATGAATAGAAGAATAATGTACAACAAATACATACCTTTATCCCATAGAGGTAAAGCCAAATCGCAAGAACCAACCGGCAAGGAAACTTTATGGTGGAGCCTCCCAATTTCCGGCCTATAGTACAACCATTCCCCTTCTCTCGTAACCAAATCATCACACCGGAATAACTCCGGCATCGGCATACATTTGCTCACGAAAACCACCTTGATCCTCCCACTCCAATCCCGTCTCCCCCTCACCACCGCCGCATTTGCCGCCACGAGATGCACTTGCAGCCTAAACACATCCCTATTCCACCCTTGCTCCGGTTTCTTGCATGGCAATTTGGCCACAATCATGTCCATCTGCCCGTTGTACCTGTCAAACACCGTCTTTTTATAATTTTTAGGCACGCCAAACAATTTCTTAGGGCCGTCAGAGTGACGTGGCGCCGCAATTTTGAATATAGTATAAAGTTTTTTTTTTTAAATATAAATATAGATTTAGTTTTTGTACTTAATTTGACATGACACAAATGCCCTTTGATAAAGGAACGTCCCTGAATTACCTGTCCCAATCGGGCATTGGAATCTCGGGGCAAGACGAACCCGAGTACTCTTCTTCTTCATCTATCCATTCCGGAAAAAGGGCCTTCCACTCAAAAAACTCGGAGACTCTATCGAACGATATAGGAAAGATCTTTCCGTGCTCCGTCCAATCGGAAACGTCTTCGTCTTCCATGTTCACCGTTCCTATCCTCATTCCTCTCCCGATGCCGCTCAAAAAACTCGGTTTCTCTCTCTTGATCAACTCCCTCCTAGGCTTTAATTGGTTCTTCATTATCCCATTTTTCTCCATCTAGTTGAGATATATATAAGTCGAATTTTTCAAAAACGAAAAATAAAATCGATTTGGTTGCTGAGTGTGAATATATAATGTATATATATAAGAAATGAGTTGTAATTAGCTCACCTTACCTTATGATGGCAATCGAGAAACGAGCATCGAACGAGGGATGCCGCTCGATGGTGGTAATCGGAGGCGGAAGGGCAGAGTAGAAGGATTATGTATAGAAGCAAGAAGAATGCCAAGAAAACTAGGTTGATTCTTATGATCATAGCTTTTGAAGAAGTGGACTTCATCATCTTCTTCAACACCATAACTATGTGTGGAAACTACAAAAATAGTGTGTGTGTGTGTGTGAGAGGCTAATGACTAAGGTTTGTTTTTCTTTCCCCACACCCCCCAAAAAAAAAACAATGTTGTACAAATGATCATTGAATCATTGTTTGTTTTAGAAGGTTTGGTTTTGAGGATTTTGGACAAGAGGGAATTTTATGATAGAAGTATGTGAAACCAATGAATGAGCTCCACGTGTTGGTTTGTTTTGGAAATTTTCTTGCCTTGGAGAGAAATAGGTCACCAAAGATAATGGAATATTAATTGTTTGGTGCAGCTAATGCAGTTTTCAAGAAAATATGTAATCCAGAAAGTGCACTTTGCCCCATTTTGATCATTACTTGAAGCTACAAATTCCCTCTTTTTTTTTTTTTTTTTTTTTTTTTTAAATTGAATTGTTTAATGATGTAATTAATCAGATGGGGAGGGGGATCTTCTTGTCATTCTTTAATTGTGTTTTTATTTATTTATTATTATTTTGGTCAATGTAGAAACATATGCAATAAAATTAAATACAAGTCTATTTTATTACTATTTAAGATTTAGGCACCCAATTAAAAAAAAAGGAAAAAAAACCTCATTATTCTGCCCTTGTTTTTACAACAAAATCAGAAGTTAAGAAGATTATCTCAACACTAATTGATGCCATACCCCTCTCTTAAATCTTCTTACGTGTCCATCATTCCAGTTTGTACTCATTTTATCTCATTCTAACTCCACATTTTGATACAAGATGATAAAAAAATGTGTCTCTTAGCTTGTAAATATCAGATTGTAGTGCATCAAAAACTGCATTTTTGCACAAAACAGTACAAACTAGAGAACATTCCACGGAATTTAGAATATTCTGTTGAATTTGACACCATAAGGATGTACGTGTAAGAAAATTCATTTAACGAGCATTTATAATTACCCAAACATGAGTGATTTTTTTGTAATTTGACCTTATTTTAGGAGTTACCTAATTTACCCTTCTTTAAATTAAGGAGATTTGGTCAGTGTCAACAACTTTATGGTTCCACTGTCAACTTCCTACATGCAATTATAAGTCAGATTTCTTGAAATAGTGAGTTTGTACCAACACTTAATTATCAATATTATTTTCTCACATTATTCAAAATCTCATTTATACTAATAAATCTATTTAATTTTTAAATTTCTAGGTTTGATAATCACACCGCACCAGAAAAAAAGGTTGCATCACTGTTCTCAAATTAATTAATGGATAGACCAAACACAATCCAAAAAGTTTGATCTTAAAGCTGAGGTTATCGACGTACCAATATACAGATTAAGATGTAATTAAACATTAATTAATTAGGTGCAATATTTTATCACCATAATCAAGAAATTACCAAAATATTCACTAGTAGAAATAAGATTTTTACTGCGATCACTAACCGTAGTAAAATGTACCAAATTTATACTACAAAGGTTTTTGCGCATTTGCTAAAAATTTGTCCCAAAGCATATACGGTCGAACAAAAACTCCCAAAGCATATACGGTCGAACAAAAACTTTGCTGCGGTAAATGGCCGTAGCAAATACTTTTATCATACGATAAATCGTAGCATTTACTACGACTCCAAAGTTGTCCTGTAGTGAAAGATACCTTTTATTACGGCTTTTTACCGTAGTAAAAAGTCATTTTTCTATATTTTTTCGTGTTCCTTTATTTTCTGGTTGGGTTTTTTTTAACATAACAAAGTTAGTAGGGAAGTTTAAGTAATTATGATAGGGAGAGAGGGGCATTCTATAATTATACTATCTGAAAAACACCAGAATAACTTTCTTCTTTACCATTATACGCCTTCTCAATATTGCATTTTCTTCTCTCAATTAATTTCTAGTGATTCACACATGTCCAAAAAATATAATGTAGTCAAGTTCAACAACACTAATTACGGCCAACCCCTAAAGTAAAGTCAAATTACGAAAATTCCCCTATCATATTTGGATAATTACAACCACCCCGTCAACTATGTACTATCTTACACGTCCAACCTTATGATGTCAAATATACCTCCTAAATGAGGGGTTTCATAAAAAAATACATAGTTGAGAGGAGTAGTTGTAAGCACTCAAACAAAAAAGATTTTTTGTCGTAATTTGACATTACCTTAAAGAGGTGGCCGTAATTTGCCCTATATTTGGATACAACATAAATTTTTCTCCATACCATCAAGAAACACCATGGAATTTTTCGTAATTTAGTATTATCTCAAGGACGTGTTCGTAATTTATCCTAGAAACAAAGAAACACATTACACAAAAAAAAAAAAAAAAAAAAAGGTGTATTAAATCACGATTCCAAGTAACTCGTTGTGCCATGAAGATACATCATCACGAACCAAAATTTGTTACAAGTACATATGCCGATCTTAACATAGGCAACGAAAAAGAAAGAATATAAAAATAAATAAATACAAAAGACGAATCAAGAAAGAAGAAAGATGAAAATTAGCTCCTCAATTTACTTCAATGTGCCAAAAAAAAATCAAATGGTCGTTTACCGTATGGAGCAAAGGGTCGAAAATTTTGCCGATCAACTTTGATGACCAAGTGAGTTTATAAACTTGCCTACTTGTCGTCTTATACTTTTGCGACATCTTGAATGTGTTGGGAATGGCTTTTACCAGGTGGAATGAAGATTAAGTCTTCCCAGCCCGAGTTCTTTTCATTTATCTGGCACAAGGAAAAAATGCAATTGCTCATTTAAATTCAAATGAAAAAGTGAATCTCGTTTATTTGAAAAAAAAAACGAGGGTGCCGTTAATCAAAAGAGTAACAAATTAAAAAAATTGAGGCGGTTACCTCCATTTTCTTGAGAACGTCCTCCAAACTTCCAACCTGTCAAATGTAAAAACATGAAGGAAATTTTAACCATGGGAAAAATACAGTTTTAGTCCCTCACATTAGTACCGATTTCACATTTGGTCCCTTGTGTTCACAAAAAGCACATTTGGTTCCTCATGTAGTCATGTTTAAGAAATTCAACACTTTTAGTCCTTTCCGCCAATTTTCCGTTAGAACTAACGGAATCAAGCCTATGCCCATCAATGACTTTATCTGACTAACGGTAAATTGACGGAAATGACTAAAATGTTAAATTATTGAAACATGAGGGACTAAATGTGTTTTTTGTGAACACAGGGGACCAAATGTGAAATCGGTGCAAACTTGAGGGATGAAAACTGTAATTTTCCGAAATATATATATATATATATGCCTAAAAAGATACTTGACAAAAAGGTATTGAAGTGGAAAGAGAATAACACGTTGTAATACCATAATGTGCTGAGCGGCACCAGGTCCTCTTGAAACCCTCGACACTGTTGATAATGCTCTCTCTATATCCTCCTGTATTATCGAAAGGGGCGTTTTAGGAAATTTACACACACCTCGAAATAGCTAATGTTATAGCATGAGATGTAAGAAAGAGTACCTTCTGAAAGTATATGGGACAATACCGCTTGTTCCTTTTCTTCACGACTAGAAGGTCCGACTGCAGACAGAGACAAAACTCCACGTAAATTTAATAAGAACGACCAATGACGACAGGCAACCGCGTATAAGGATATATATGTGTGCGTGTGTGTGTTTGCGTGCTGCATAATATGAGATGGTGATATGACCGATATAACTATATAAGCGCATGTATGTATTAGCATATACCTGGAAAACAGGAACTCCATCGAACCCAGTCTTGATCTCGGATGCTTTTAGCTGAAAAGTGGGAACCGTAACGATTTTTTAGTTTAATGAATAAGAATTAAGGATTTGTAAGTAGTTGCTTGTATAACGCGACAAACTTATCCAAAAATACTGAAACTTTATCGCAACGTTTATTTATATATCTCTAATATCTCACTACAACAGTTGTAGTATCCAAAATATGTAGCCGAGCCGAGCAATAGTTATAAATCACTGTAGTATGCAATCAACGCATATTAATAAACTATAGTTCGGCTACGTATTTTGCAAAACTATTTTACGGAGTGACTATAGACACGCCAAAGATTATTCTGCTAAAGTTTCAGGATTTCTTGATAAGTGGTTTAAGGCCTCGTTTGGTTGAGGAGATTAACCATGATTAACTAAATAATGGGACTCTATTTGATGTTTGGTATCCCCAATAACTTGCCAGGCCGACCCGCAAATATTATGTTATCATGCCTTAGCTTGCCTTTTAGGCATGTTTTTTATTGGATCTTCTAAGGTCCAATAATACAATTGGGTTTCAATAGATTATTTAATTTTATCTTGACTAATCTTATATCGGCAACCAAAAGAGGCCTAAGGAAATTCATTTTCTAAGTTGAAATAGTAACAGCTGTCTGACTGCTGACGACTTAAGGGACCTATTCTAGGTTTCTAAGCTTTTACGGGAGTTCTTAACAAATGTGCTTAAAAACATAAGATAGGTTTAATAGCCCACACAGACATACGAGCAACTCCAATATAGTCTCGTAAGTACCAACCTCTAACGCGTTTTTTATTTGAACGGGATCCGGTAAAAACCGGAACGCTATTCCTTCGACTTTCAACATATAAACCTGCAAATCGAGACACCAAAATCAGTGGTGCTCGGATTACGCCGTCAGAGGTTCTGTTCGTTCAACTAAATCGTACATGAAACTTCAAGATTCAGCATGTTCGTTCTTGATTACCTGGTCAAGAGTTATCGGCACCACTTTCGCCCCACCTCTCAATTCTCCTCTTCTCGACCGAACCTACAAAATCATCGGAAAAATAATGTCGGAATATCGTAAACATTAAACCCAAACCAAATCAAATACTATTCGACTCGAGTAAATTGAAGCAGTGCAATTCCAAAACACTAGTGTAATACAAGATTTAACATGAAATTGGGGAAACCGAAACTTCAACAAGAGCACGGAAATTTAGGGCAGAGATAAATTCGTACAATAGCTTCAATTATCGTCCGTTTGGATTTAATATACAGTAGAACCTCGATAAATTAATACTCTGATAACTTAATAACCTCGCCTAAATAATAAATTCTTCCGATTCAAACTTGGTGAGAAAGTGCTAAATCATTAACTCGATAATTTAATATTTTGCTAAATTAATAGAATTTTCCTAGTCACCTGAGCAAGGAAAGCTTCGGCATCTTCTCGCCGGAAACAAAGCAAGCCGATGGATTTAACCCCGTCGCGGTCGGATATGAGCACGAACTCATTGTTTGTGTTGCTCACTGTGTAAACTGAGGTTCCGGCGAGCCTCCTCGCCACGTGCTCCGAATTCAGTGAGGTTTCCTGGACGGCGGCGGCGGCGGCGGATTGCTTTCCCTGACGCTGAGACACGGAGGCGAAGGGCAGGGACAGCGGCGGCGGCGGCGGTGGTGGTAGAAAGGCGGCGGCGGCGAGGCGCTTGGTGTCTTCGAGTCGGGTGGTGAGTTGGTTGCCGAGGCGGTGGATGAAAGTGGAAAGGGATAGGAGGGGGTTGGGGGTGGGTGTGGGGCCCACCGAGGGTTTTGCGGAAGATGATGACTCCATTGTTGTTCGGTTAGTAAGAACAGAGCTTTTTTGGACTGTGTTGTGTGTTGTTGATGATATTGTTTGGACTTTTTTTTATTGGGCTTTAAATTTTTATTTTCTAATGGACCAAATATATGTGACCCATTTTCTATTTTAGTTCATTCTACGTGTAAATTTCAACCACTCTGGTGTCTTGATGTATGGTCAAATTACGAAAATACTTCTTCTGTTTGCGTAATTACAAATCAATCCCTTAACTATAAATCTTCTTACACGTCCACTCTTGCGGTTTCAAATTTAGTGGAATCTTCGAGATTATATGGGATATTATCACTTTTGTGCCCCTTTTATCCCATTCGAACTCCACGTTTTGAAGCAAGATGATTATAATGTATTTTTTGGCTTGTATATATCAGATTGTGCTGCATCAGAAACTGCATTTGTACACAAAAAAAGTACAAACTAGAGCACATTCCACGAAATCTAGATGATTATGTTGAATTTGACACTATAAGGGTGGAGGTGTAAGAAAAAAATTATATTTGAGGGAGTAAATATAATTATCCAAACAAAAGTGATTTCTTCATAAATTGACTATACATCAGGTGTGTGGTTGTAATTTACTCTAAAGTTTATTTATTTTATGTAATTTTTTTTTAATGTTTGTGTTTATATAT